TTGAATTTCGGTGCTAATTAGTTGATCGCATCTGTATGTACTACAAGTATCCATATGCACATGCCTGGGAAATGGATTTGCATTTGACTCCAGAACTATTATTTACAAATAATATCTACGAGTATTGCAGTAAAAGTCAAAAACAACTTTGAAGTTAACAAGTGCATTGCTTTGTAATTTTTTTTGTTAATGCGTCCATCTTTAAAGTGAGTATGTGAAAAAACCTATTTTATCATTTTTTTAACTTACATGCATTTTTTACTATTTACATAATATAATACTCGTACAAGAAGCGAACTTGAACAGATGCTTTTTAAGTTTTTAGCAACATTAACTACTGAATAAATTATATTTAACAAATGGTCATGCAGAAATGCAAATCAGCAATTCTAACTAATATAAAAGTACATTTAATATAATTTAACTATATTAATTTATTTAATTTTATAAAAAAAATATACATGAATACGTTTCTGCATTCACATGCAACCTAGCAACACATAGCCAGACACTTGCAACAAATATAACATTATCATAACAGAAATTTACATTTTTCTCTGTTAACTCTTCTTGAAATGTTAATCGCGCTGTGGTGATATTCCATGGATTTATTTTTCAGCCAAACAATTTTACGTTCCAAAAATTTGCACCTTCTCTATCTATCTAAGTTCTCTGTTGATATGTACTTAATAAGCATTCGAAGATTTAATTTTCTAACTTCGAATTCGTTCCACCAAAATGAGCTACATGATAAAAATACAAGTTCAGTTAAATTTTCGTTATTCGAATTAATAAAAAATGAGAAACCAGAAATCGACGAAAATTAATAAATAAAAATACTCCGAAGAATTGATAACCTCTCCTTTTTTGAAGCCGGTTAAAAATGTCTGAGTTCTTTGTAAATTTTATGTAAATAAAATGCAATTGATGATACTTTAAAAAGTTTATTTATTTATTTATTTCTTACTGTAAATAAATCTTTCATAAATGTATTTTAAAGAGCGAATTTTCAGTATTTGCTGATGATATATATTTAGAAGTATAAACCCTTTCCGCCCAAAAATATATTCCTGCGTGCGCCCCTGGCACTTAGTATTTATTATTTGTAAAAAATAGATTTTAAATTTCAAAATGTTTGTAATTTTAAATATTTCATGTGTATATTTTAAACAACTCGTGTTCAAAATCAAATTTTGAACATCTTGTGCGTATACTTGAACAGATTCTGGTTGAAAAATAAACACTTTTCAGTAGTAGTTTTACATGCACTTTTTAGAGCGCACACTTCGGATTCTCACTGGAGTAGGCTATCCAGCTTTTACGGCTCGAACTTTTAACCAACCATGAATAACTTTGATAATTGCCGTATTCGTTACTTCGTAATTGGCACTTAAGATTACGTAATATTACAAAGGACAATATTCCCGATGTTCCTGAATAGTTTAACTTTGTAAGCGGCTATTTAAAATATATCGAAAGTTTTAAACGCTTGTTCCGCGGTAATGCTGTTTGATCAAAGTCAAACTATTGGTATCCAGTACTGATTAAATATGTACATGTGTGCGTATTTGAGCCATACAAAAGATTAGGTCAGATCTTTACCCTTCCTTGCGGTGATGATGAAAAGACGTTTCGCTTCTTTTGAGAGTTTCGCAATTTCAAAGAAAATACCAACAATCCTTTTAAGTATTTTTTGTAGGTTATCTATCTAATCCCGGCACTCAGAAAGGTGGATAACCTTTTCGAGAGAAAGCGTGAAGTCTTCAGCTAAGATCGGGTTTGGTTGGCGTTTTTTATCAAGATTTCACTCTTACGTTCGTAGACCTTTGAGAATGAACTTTTAGAATCTCCTAACCTATGGTTTGACGCGATACTTGGACATCGAGAGACAACTGGCGAACTTTTGTAGTTCCTCAACCGTTTTCCTTTTTAAACTCGCCCATAGTCGTCCATAGAGTAGTTACAGACTTCTTAGACACGTCATTGATTTCAACACCCACTTGTTACAGGTAAGTTATTTATCTTACTTAGTGGATCAAAAATTGGAACTTGTAAAGATATAAATACATATCTTTCAGGCCGATTAGAATTTCCAAATTGTGCTTGGCCGTCTCATCGGTACTTTCCTACATTACTTATGAGACAAAATATGACTTTGACTTGACCCAGCGCAGCCTCAATGCCAAAAAATAACTCTCAGTAAATTTATTTTACTTCCCTACTCGAGTCTAGACTAAAAAGGGACCTTACCGTTTAAAACTTGAAACCTTGAGCACCAACTGCTCTGACGCTGTACCCGTACTCTAGTTTGCATCGCCGTCTCTCGAATAATAAATAATGGCCTCGGAATCCAATAAATTGTGGACGTAGCTCTGTCTTTTAGGCTCGGCTGTTTATGTTTGTTATATCGATTACGAAGATCTATGTTTGAAAAGTAGGGTATCCCATTGGTCTAGAGGACATTCAAACTGTTAAGAATCGCAGGAAGGCAGAGGAAGACTTTTGGAAATATCGCAGTAGGAACGTGTAGGGGACTCTCTTCCAATGTGAATATATGTATAGAAAAGTTGTATTAATTACAGACCGACAACTTTCAACCCGTCTTGCCTGGAACTAGGTAGCGTAAAGAATCAGCAGTTGTTCCCTGCTCTTTAAAAGGTTAAAAAAAATATATAGCTGTACGGTACCTAATACTTTCCGAAAACATGCAATGCCTTCTCAATGAAACTTAAGTGACATCGTCGTAGACGCATGGGTTTGCGCACCCATATAGAATGTCTACATTCACACATAACCTTACTTTCTGTTATTCTCTTCTCTTAACCGAACAAATCGAATTGAATTGATTTCAATGGAATGTCATAAAAATCGAAAAGCATTGCATCGTTTGAAATTGGTCGGTATTCGATTGCAATGGATAATATGGAAATGCATACACACCACAACAGAGTTGCATTTGCAGCGGCAACTAAACGAACAAGCGAAGGAACGAACGAGGATCTCATGAACGAGTAATGGTAATTGTCTCTAATTGAATCGAATTAAAGGTGCAATTGACAATGTTAACGCAGCGGCAATGCAACGGCGCCAACGCCACTATGGAATTTTGCGAGATGCCATGCGCATGGCTACAATGCGGCAAGCGGCGACAAGCTAACCGTGCAAAAAATGGGACTAATCCGGGATGACTCCGGGAGCAATCGCAAAGGAGCATGCGACTAATACCACTTTTGATCTCTTTATATGGAATGAACTGATCGCTTTTGTTCGGGCATGTCCTATGAAGAGACTAATTGTTCACATTTATACCCGAAAGGGTATAAAAAGCGACTAGTCACTTTAAAAAAAAAAATAAAAATTTTCGCCAGCTGAGATTCGAACTGGGGTGCTCAGTTTTGTTAGGCGAATACTCTCTCTGTGTGCCAACGCCGCACATGATATTTCATTGACGAAGTGCGTACATATCATTAAATCGTTAATAGTACCCGTTAGAGATGAGTTGGCGACGAATTGATCTCCAATTATACCCATAAGGGATGAGTGGAGACTAATTGACCTCCATTAGTACCCGTATGAGACTAGTTGGGACTAATTAATGCCAAATTGTACCCGATTGAGAGTAATCTCGGAATACTCTCTTTAGAGATTAGTCGCACAAAATTTTGCAGGGAAACGACAGAACAGTGCATTTGTTTGTGTATGCTGTTATTCATGCTTCAAAGATTGATAATTTACATCAATTGAATTGAATTCAAATTATTCGTTCAATCGAATGCGTGATTGAAATTTTTAATTTATGTTCATACATATGTGCAGTAAATTCAATTGTACGAATAGATGCGAGTATGTACATACATACTATGCTGTGGTGTGAGATATGTAAATGTAATAGCAGCAGTGTGTATGTTTGTAAATAAATATATGCATATGTACATTTATGGCATATATGGCATTGAGTTAGGCGTATCTTGATTGTTTGCAACTGATTATCTTTTGGGTCATACGTACCAATAAAATATTCCCCCAAGCCTTGATCTGCATATCTTGAATCTAGGCTGATTTTTCATTAATTTTAAATGCATATTTTTTAATGTATGTACATATATGTAATGCATTTGCACATTAGGGTGCACCACTTTCCATACAAAACAAAGTCGATGCTGCTTTTCCATCGGAATTATAAAATCTTTTGTCGCCTGAAACTTCCTCCAAAATATTCCAGTAAAGTATGGAGACTTACTTGCGATTGAGCGATTTGACAACACCTCAAAAAATATAGTTTTTTTACAAATAAAATGTGTATAAAAAAATATTTTTATTCCAAAAATTTTACTTCAATAATAAAAGAGTTTTAGCTTCGAAGACCTGCATAAAAATGTTTTAAAATTTTATCAACGGAATATGTAATTTGATTTTTTGAGGCATTTTCAAATCTGCCCAGCTTCCGTAAGTCTTAATATTTTTCTGAAATATGTTGGCTTAGATCTTAAATATAATAAATTTTGTAATTCCGCTTCGACAACTGCAACCTTTTTTTGGTGAGGCACCCTAATGTACACTCTAAAAAAATTTTGTTTAATTTCGCGCATACTAAGATAGGTAACCAGTTTCCTCTCATAATGTGTGCAAATTTACACACCGTGTAATAAAATTAAATACTGGCTGTTTACTTTCACATACCAAATGTGTCACGTAGAGCAAAATTGCACATAAAATGTTTAAAATTGCATAAATGTGAGCACCTAATGTTTATTAATAGTAAAAACATGTATTTTTACTTCCAAAATGTTTACAACTTTAAACATTTCATGTGCATATTTATGTGTATAATTTAAACATCTCATGTTCAAAATCAAATCTTGAACATCTGGTTGAAAAATAAACAATTTTCAGTAGTAGTTGTACATGCACTTTTTAGAGTGTACATATGTATGAGTGCAAGTCGTGGTCATTTTCTCTTATTTATATCTAATTTTCATTTTCACTCATCTCTTTTTTAGCTTGGTCCTGCTGCTGCGGGAAGAGGTATGTTTTGCTATCAGTGCCCGCCATCGTTGCATCCATGTGGACCACATCCATCACGTTTGCCTACGCTGGATTATCCGTTTGCTGCTACGCATCCTTGTAAGTTGAAAAAATATATATATTTACAGGATATACATACAATAGTACGGCTAACGTTCATTGACAGGCCAGTTGACAGCTGTCAACTTACTAACTTTCAATTTGACATACAATTCGTGATTAGTGTGCTTTAAATCTAATTAGTATCATTTAACAAAATATTTTATTATTTTTAGAAAATTGACAGTTGAATTCGATATACAATTCGTAATCAGCGTTTCAAAGAACGTAATGAATAGCATTTATCAAAATATTTTATTAAGTTTAGAGAAATTGAAAATTTATTTGACAGCTGTCAACTGTTTAATATGGCATAATACTCGTGACTGATGTGCCTAAAAACCTAATCGGTGGACTTTAAAAAAAATATTTTATTATATTTAGAAAAAATTAAATCCATTTGACAGCTGTCAAGGTTTTAATTTGACATACAATTAAAAAAAAAATATTTTAATATTTTTATAAAATTTGACTACGCTATCAGTTTGACAGCTGTCAAAGTTTAAACTTGACATAAAATTCGTGACTAACATGTCTAAAAACCTAATCAGTGCCATTTTCAATAATACTTTCTTATTTTAAGAGAAATTGACAGTTGATTTGACAGCTGCGAAATGTCAGTATATAAATATTATGGCATATTCGGATTAAGCATGACAATAATGCTATCATTTGGCAGTTTCATGAAAATTGGAACAGTTCTTCTAGTAGTGCGTGTAAAGGTTGGTCTCTCCGACCACTATGCGTCGCATGAGTCAGAAACCATTCGACTGACTGTTTCCTTAAGGGCACTATCGTCCCTTCAAAAGAAGAGAGAGTTTCCTATGCTAATTCCCAGGGAACTAGACAAGTCCCGCCTTACTGCTGTAGGTGAAATGAGTCGAAATATTTATTTAATACCTCAAAATACAAAAACCCGCACATTTTTTTTATCAAGAAAACATGGGTGACATATTCTAATTTACATCCAGTTACAACTTTTTCCTCCCATTTCATCCCCTTCCACATGATTATCATTGTCACTCATCTTATTTGTAGATTATCCTTAATGAAATTACTAAATAACTGTAAAAGTACAGCGTCTATACTCGAAATAAGCCATTACAACAAAAAAAAGAGCAGCAAAACGTATACGCATAAATTTTGTTAAAATGCGAAAAAAAGAAATATTGAATGAATACTCTCACCCGTTATCAGAGATGAGATAAAAAGCCATTGATAGCGCGCTTGTGTGCTAAACTAATTTCAAACAATTTTCGACGCAAAAGCAAATGGGTAGATAAGCATCTTGAAAACAAAAAGCAAAAAACAATATGTAGGCATATTTTATGCGCATAAGTACGAATATGTATAAGTATACAGGAGGATAGGCAAACGTACACTCTAAAAAATTTTTGTTTAAATTTGCGCATATTAAGATAGGTAACCAGTTTCCTCTCTTAATGAATGCAAATTTAAACACTGCTTGCTTACTTTTACTTATCATATGTGTGGCGTAGAACAAATTTCAAATTTGTTTTTTGAGTTTTAAACATTTATTGTTCACATTTTCACAGTTTACACATAAAATGTTTAAAATTTCCTCTAAAAAATTTTCGTTTAAATTTACGCATATAAAGAGAGGTAACCAGTTTCCTCTCCTAGTGTGTGCAAAATTAAACAATGTTTGTTTACTTTTGCTTATCAAATTTGTCACGTAGCGCACCCAAGGGGTGGGTTTTGGGGCTAAATTTATTATGATAAAAGAAATTATGAAAGAAAAAATTTTCTTTTCCATTTCTTGTGCGTCATTTTGTAAGAATTTTTCTTTTTTTCTTGAGAGCTCTTTAAAGTTTAACTGTTGCTTTTCACACTTTACAGCCTAAAGAAGATTACCACTGATATGTAATTAATAAGCATTCGAAGATTTAATTTGCTAACTTTGAATTCGTTCCACCAAAATGAGCATACAAGTTCAGTTAAATTTTCGTTATTCGAATTATTAAAAAATGAGAAACCAGAAATCGACGAAAATTAATAAAAAAAAAGTGTAAAAATTTCGTGAAATTATTTAATTTATTTATATTAAAATTCTTTTGTAAAATTTTGTATTACTTTTGAAAGTTGAGTGCATCTTCAACCGTTAATTTTTTCATGATTTAATGATCGGATCTAAACCAAATTACGAGACGACCCTTAAGGTACCATCTTTCCAGTAAAAAACAATAATTATTGGAATCGGTTCACGCGGTGCAAAGTTATGCGGTGGAATAAATAAAAGAAGTAAAAATACTCCGAAGAATTGATAACCTCCCCTTTTTTGAAGCCGGTTAAAAATGTCTGAGTTCTTTGTAAATTTTATGTAAATAAAATGCAATTGATGATACTTTAAAAAGTTTATTTATTTATTTCATACTGTTAATAAAACTTTCATAAATGTATTGTAAAGAGCGAATTTACAGTATTTGCTGATGATATATATTTAGAAGTATAAACCCTTTCCCCCCAAAAATATATTCCTGCGTGCGCCCCTGGCACTTAGTATTTATTATTTGTAAAAAAATATATTTTTGCTTTCAAAATGTTTGTAATTTTAAACATTTCATGTGTATATTTTAAACAACTCATATTCAAAATCAAATCTTGAACATCTTGTGCGTATACTTGAACAGATTCTGGTTGAAAAATAAACACTTTTCAGTAGTAGTTTTACATGCACTTTTTAGAGTGTAGTATAATCTTTATTTTTTCTTGCCACACAGCGAAGTTGGCAAACGCCCAGCTCATCTGCGGCGGCTCACTCCATATGCACTGCTTGAATATCTATCTGCTACCTTTCCAAGTGGCTGTGACTTTCCTCCTCTTATATGCACTGTTCCCTTTCGCTTTGCCATTCGTTGCTTCCCCCTCTCCAACCGACGACCGTCGTGCCATGCATGTCCTTCAAATGCATTAACGAATTATTCTATTAGCCTTTGCGTACTTCATTCAAAGTATCGAATTACCAATAACAGCCACATGCAACCAGCAACTTTTCGCATGCGCAGGTTTACACTTTTTTCCCCGATTTTTGTTTTCACTGCTTTGCCCTTCCGATATTTCGCAATGGCTTTGGCATTCTTTACTTCCTAATAGCCTTCGTTTTATTGGCACTTTTCACATTTGGCTGTCGATTTTCGCTTTTTGACAGCACATTTTTTGATCTTTTTTGCTTTCTTCTTATATTTTTTTTTTTGCTATGCGGCATTCGCGTAAATTGAATCACAAGAATTTGTGTAGCAATCGATTCGATTATGGTTCGAAAATTTTCTGATCAAATTAATGGTCATTGGAGATTCATCAAGTATTTAACCAAGCATTGCGGTGAAAGTAGTTTGAATGTATTGGCAGATGATGATGATGATGGGTTGATGGGTGTACTTTTTTTCTTTTTTAGTTTGAGCAAAGGAGCTAATGGACATGTGGATATGAGTATGCATATCTAACTTGTATGCCTTCATCCTAGGATTAAGCAAAAAATTACACATACTTTATATCAACGCATGACTTTTTTTTTATTCCTCAATTCTTGTGAATTTAAAGCTCTTTTCCTTAGCTTTTGAACTCTGATTAACCCTTCTGCGAACGAATAGATAACCTTCTCCTTTTGTGAAGTCAGGTACCTATGAAGTGGAAAACTCTGATACAGTTCATTTGTATTCAACAATTTAATCCAATGACGACCAAAACTTGCTTTGTGTGTGCAGAGGAGACCTTACTCATCCTCTGCTACCAGCATCGCGACCGGAGTTTAATACTTTCGGAGCTAAACCGTCGGTGTCCAAGCCAGCCAAGCCAAGCCAGCGGAGCCGCTGAATTTTAATTCGCTGCACTATGCCTATATCATTGTAAAGCTCATACAGCTCATCGTTAAATCGTCTGCGGTATTCGCCATCGCCATCACGCAGAATCTGTCTCCTGAAAACTCCAAGAGCCGCTTTATCAGATGTTTTCATTGTCCATGCACGTTATCAGGTCCTCGCCGCCATACTTGAATATTTCAGCTAGCAGGCTGTCAGCTCCAGCAGCCTTATTGTTTTTCAGCCCCATAATCGCTATTCGTACCTCGTCATAGTCAGACGGTGGAAAATTGACACCATGATCATCGACTGGGGTCGCGGGGTCCTCTCTTCCACCACCTTCAGTGCTACTGCCATTCAATAGGGAGGCAAAGTGTTACCTCCATAATTTAAGTACGTTGTGGACATTGGTCACTAGGTCGCCATGGTTATTCTTACGGGAGTTCGCCCTGGTCTTGAAACCTTCCGTAAGTCGCCTAACTCTCTGATAAAATTTTAGAGCGTTTTTTCGGGTGGCCTGCATTTTAAGCTCTTCGCGCTCACGTATTTCAGCCTCTCTCTTCTTATTGCGGCAAATACGTCTCTCTTTCTTATTTAGTTCCCTATAACGGTCCCGCATGGCTCGCGTTGCGCCCGATCGCAGCGTGGCCCTGTACGCGGCAACTTTTTTCTCTGCAGCTTCTTGACATTCCTCATCGCACCAGTTGTTCTTTCGGGCGCGCTGATCTCTACTGACTACTACTTCGTCGGAGGCGGTACGTGATGAGCGGGAAATCTCGGTTTGTTGAAGAGTGGTCTCTGAGAGCAGGTATTCGACTCTCATACCGCGAATAAATTGGCGGTGTGTTGTGATTGCAGCATTTCATCGTTTTTCGTTCTGGAGATAGCCATGTAGCTTGATGGGCTTTTTTATGCGGGAACCTCGTACTGTATAATACCATGTTTCGGGCCCGGCGAAGTCGATCAGCCTCAGTCCGTTATCGGACGTTTCGAGGTGGAGGCTGAATCTCTCGAGATTGGCGCCAAAAATCCCTTCCTTGTGTACCTTGGCATTGAAGTCGCCAAGCATGATTTTGGTATCGTGTAGGGGCAGCGTTCGTATGTGCGCTCCAAGCGCTCATAGAAGCTATCCTTGGGCACTTCGTTCTTTTCTTCTGTCGGGGGAATGTACGCAAAT